ACCTGGGTTCTGTCTCAGAGCCTTTTTCCTCAAGGCTAGCACTCTACCACTTTAAACTATACTACCAATTCTAGTTTTCTGGTAGTTCATTGGAAAAAAGTCTCATGGACTTTCCTTCTCAGGCTGGCTTTGAACTGTGATCCTCAGATCTCAGCCTCCAGAGTAACTAGGATTACATTGGTGCCTGGCTTCCATGTGATTTATCTCAACCAATGCCTGTCCCCCCCCCAAAAAAAAAAAAAAAGGAAAAAAAACACCTAGAAGTGGGGCTGTAGCTCAAGTGATAGAGCACTAGCCTTGAGCAGATAAAGCTCAGGGACAGTACCTGAGTTCAAGCCCAAGGACCAGCACCAAAAAGAAAAAAAGAAAACCCAAATTAAGCATTTTGAGTCACACTTAAAACTAAACCTGCCTTATACTACCTCCAAGATCTGGACCAACTTTACCACCCTCTCTAGGGCAAGAAAAACAAGGGAAGATGACTGATTTGCATTTTTTTCCTTTTTTTTTTTTCTCTGTCGGTCATGAAGCTTAAATTCAAAGCCTGGGTTCTGTCTCTGAGCTTCTGTCTCTACTACTTGAGCAACAGCTCCACTTCCTAATTTACTTTTCTTTTTTTGCCAGTCCTGGGGCTTGAACTCAGGGCCTAGACATTATCCTTGGGCTTCATTTGCTCAAGGCTAGCACTCTACCACGAGCCACAGCATCACTTCCAGCTTTTTCTGTTTATGTGGTACTGAGGAATCGAACCCAGGGCTTCATGCATGCTAAGCAAGCACTCTACCACTAAGTCACATTCCCAGCCCAAAGAGAGAATTATACTGAGAGCTGGTGGTAAACACCTGTAATCCCTAGCTATTCAAGAAGTTGAGATCAGCTAGGTGCCAGTGGCTCACACCTGTAATCATAGCTACTCAGGAGGCTGAGATCTGAGGATCACGGTTCAAAGCCAGCTCAGGCAGGAAAGTCTGTGAGACTCTTATCTCCAATAAACCACTCAGAAAACCCAAAGTGGTGCTGTGGCTCAAGAGGTAGAGCGCTAGCCTTGAGCTGAAGAGCTGAGGGACAGCACCCAGGCCCAGAGTTCAAGCCCCACGACTGACCAAAAAAAAAAGTTGAAATCTGGATGAGGAAGGTTCAGTCAGCTCTAGCAGAAATGTCTATCTCCGATAACCAGAAAAGCGGCTGAAGTGGTAGAGCTCTAGTGGTGAGGAAGGAAAACCAAAAACCAAGCAAACCTGAGGTCCCTGAGTTCAAGCCCTGGTACCAAAGTGGAGCCGGGGGAGGCATAGGTAATATAGAATGAAGCTCATTCTTGAAAGGCTGATACTTGAGTTGGGCCTCCCATGCTTGGAAAAGAAAGCTGATTGGGAACTCCTAAATACCTAAGATCTTCTAGTCCAGAATTGGCCCAACACAGTGTCTATACTAGAAGAGAATGCACATTCTTCTCTTTTGGACTCTTTGTCAGTTATGGGGCTTGAACTCTGGGCCTGTGTGCTATCCCTCAGCTCTTCAGCTCATGGCTAATGCTCTACCACTTAAGCCACAGCATCACTTCCAGTTTCCTGGTGGTTTATTGGAGATGAGTCTCACGGACTTTCCTGCCTGGGCTGGCTTTGGATGGTGATCCTCAGATCTCAGCCTCCTGAGCAGCTAGGATTACAGGCATGAGCCACCAAATCCCGGCTCTCTTTTGGATTCTTTTGCAGGTAACTCACTGAAATGGTACCTCAACTCCACCCTCCAGTTCCCAGGATGCCCTAAGACCCCCATAGAGACCTACCCTGTCCACAATGAACAAATGGAAAAACCATTCCTGAGGGATCCTATGAACTTTACCCGGGTCAAAGACCAGCAGGTCCAACTAGAGACTTCCTTCCTGCCTCTCCCGTTTATCTATCATCTTGTCTAGTTCAAAAGTCCTTGAGCAGACCCACTTCTTCCAAAGAGAGGTCACAGGATTCAGGTACCAGTGGCTCACGCCTGTCATCCTAGCTACTCAGGAGGCTGAGATCTGAGGATCACGGTTCAAAGCCAGCCCAGGCAGGAAAGTCCATGAGACTCTGATCTCCAATCAACCACCAGAAAACCAGAAGTGGCGCTGTGACTCAAAGTGGTCAACTTGCCAGTCTTGAGGGGAAAAAAGCTAAAGGCCAGCACCCAGGCCG